AAGTCCAAAATAATACTTTGTTTGTTTTTTTCTTTCCCGTTTTTTTTTGCCCCATACTCTATTATCCTCTTCCGATAACTTCTGATTTATTACATATCAAGTTATTCCCTTCGTTCAATTCATTTTTGTCCTTTTGTTCTAGATGATTAATTACAATATATTTCATCATGACTCATCATAATGATTCGATGAAAAACAAAGTAATGACGAAAATGTCAATGTGATCTATTCATACGTTTATCGTTTCATTTTTATTTTTGTATATTATAGTATGATGACTCGTCAGTGTCAACTCATCAGAGTCAACAAGTGGATACTAACATTTGAGTTCAATTGATAAAATAACAAAAGCAGAGATTTGGCGACATTCACTATCAAGAAATCAATCAATCTCTTGAACACACGACTACAATTAGTTGACTTAATCACCAAGAATTAAGGCGAATATCTATACTCATTTATCAAAATACAAAGATTTACAAGGCGAAAAAATTGTTATCGACAACATGCTCCAAATTTGCCACTTGATAAGAATTCTTGTAAACTCACTCGAAATACTATTGTATTGTGGTAACTGTAACACACGACCAGATTATAGGTAAACAACTTACCTATAATGACATATTCGCCAATGCAATAAGACGTTCATATGACTCGCTATCACACAAGTATTTGCCCCTTGATAAGATTTTATTTGTAAAATCGAAATACTACATATTTAGTATTGTGGTTACTATTCACGCTCACATCCAAACTACTAATGAGTAGCGGGATACTTCTTGTGAGTATAATACAATTAGATTTATTCTTATATTTCAATAACTATGATATTATTTCTTTGTTTTTTCCTTTGTTTCTAGTACCAAGCACAAGGAGTCACAGGAGAGAGTCATGTTTGTCAGTTTACATAGGTTTTCGATTATTTTTTAAAAATTACTTTCACAATAAATAAATAAATCAATAAATAAATATATATATATATCAGATATAATTTGTTTACTTCATAGGAATCCTAATTCAACTTTTGTTAAAAATATCTGTGATTTATTTTAGATATAAAATATCTTCTATTAAAAAAGACAACGTCTTCTTCTATTACTTCACGTGCATTGATTAACTTTGTAGTATTCAAGAAAACCGAATGGCTACTTTCAAACTTCAAACACCGTTATTACAACCTGCAAAAAAGATGAAAAAATCATGGCATTTCACAAATAATAGCATGTATCATAAGAACATCCAAAAGAGTCAATTATCTATTGATAACTGGAAGACTTCATCACGGATCCTAGCAAATTATAGAAAAATGCCTGACAATCTATTCATACATCGACTATCAAACAGTATTCCTAGTCAGTGTGCAGTGATCCAACGGTCATTAACGAATACTACAATGTTACATTTTATTCGCCGCCGTGCTCTACTCATGTGTACTTTATTAGAATTAAAAATCGAAGAAGATTATTGGAAACATGTTGCTGATGAAGCAATGCCTACTGTAAGATGATTATCTCAAGCATCTAAAGATATAACGAAACGAAATTCCATTAACTGGGATTATCCTCGAACGGAACACAATATAAGACATCGACAAAGATTAATTTATAATAAACTACAACAAGTAGAGGCGAACTTGAAGGTTCATTTACAACAAAGTCCTCCAAGTGCAGTAAAACAAAATGAAATATCTATTGACGAATCAATGAATATCATTGATCACGCTCTTGCTAATCTCGTAAAGAAAGATCTTGAACAATGCGTGAATTATTTTGAACACAAGAAAACCATACTGAACTTCGATATTAATGGAGGCAATCAGGTCAAATCATTCTATGAATATAGTCCAAACAAGGAACAGGTTTTCAACCAAACCTACGACCATATTTTTACTCTTTTTCTTTCCTTCTAGATTCTTTCTGTTCAGAAACTTTGGCGAATAACGGCCAAATCATACCAACGAGCAATTACTCTAAAAAGAAATTCTTCATTGTTAACTAAACAAACATTTAAAAAAAAAAAGGAATGATACAAAACCACTCGGCTCATGACCACATGAACGCAATTGGATTCGACTGCAATACTGGCCATTCTGATCAAAGTGTTTCAACAACTTTGCTTCAACCGTTCCTCGGTCCTATGCGCAATATTATTGAAGTTCGTCTTCTTAATATCAAACAACGAGCTGAACAAATTATGCTATTCATCAATACATCCTCTCACTAAAACCTGTGTGCTTTGCTTCAATATAAAACACAAAATCAAAATATTGTCCTTGTTCATCCATAATTTTGAATCCCAGCAGTGTTCATTATATGCTTTTCATTATCGTAAAATTATTCTTCCAAACCATAATAAAACTCATATAGCTATTAGTTTCCTTTATTTCAGATACATATCTTACCTGCTGAGGACCCTTAAGCAAGGTCGAAACCGGTCGTAAGTAGCTTGTGCTATTAAATAAATCCTATACACACCTTTATATTCAGGAATTTTTCTGGTTCCTGAATATAAAATTAGCTGCGACTTCTTTTGTTTCTTAAATTTTTAGTATTATTTCTTCTGAAATTTGCTAGAAATTTGGAAATAATTGTGATCCTTCTACAAAATATTGATCGACAGTTTCGAGAAGGTTTTGTTCTTGAAACTTTCAATGAACTGTCTCAAATTTGTAGTTAGGATTGAATTGCAGTATTTTAAAAAATTTACTAGCCGAACTTACCTGATGAGGACCCTTAAGCAAGGTCGAAACCGGTCGCAAGTAGCTTGTGCTATTAAACATATCCTATCCACACCCATACCCACACCCACACCCACACCCACACCCACACCCGCCACCCCACACCCTCTTGAATTCTGCTTCTACAATGTCTAATTGGATAAGTGGATTCACTTTTTTTATTGCATATTGCAGTATTTTTTCGTTTCTTTTGAGTGACACTGGTGTGTTTTCATTATGACATCTGATACATTTCCCCTCACACTAACTGTTGTGCTGTCGTTGTGTTTCGCAAGAGCAATGAGATTGTCAATCTCATTAATATATTTAAGATTGATATTCAATATTTCAAGATAGTCTTGACTTTTTCAAAATAATTAACAGCATCTTGCCATTTTTGCTTATTGTAATATAAAGCCTACCAGTATTCTCTAAAAATAAAATCAATTCTAACGGTTTTGTAGATGAAATTCTTTGCTGTTTATCCAATGCTTGTAATTGATAATTCAATATATTATCAAATATGTTACATTTCCAACACGACCGGCTCATATCAATTATACAATAAATAATTATTGAATCAGTTAAATTAAATGATTTTTCAAAAATAACTAAGGCTTTCTTATAATAATCGATTCTTTCTACAACATTTAATGTACGATCACTCAGACTTTTTAGAGCATGAGCACTAAATAAAGTATCTTCAAATTCTATTATAATGTTTTGATAAAATTCCATTGCATTCTGATCTTCACCTTTTTTCATATAGATATCAATGATTCGATTCAAATCATCCATTAGATTCGGATGATCAGATGGTAACATGTTTTTATCTATTTCAAATGCACGATAATAATAAGCAAATGCTTGCTCATAATCCTTCAGATCTTCATAAACTAAACCGATATTTCCCAAACAAGATGCAATATCAGGATATTGTGATGGAAGTATTCTCTGATACATACCTAATGCTTGATTCAAATATTTCAATGCAATTTGACATTCTTTTTCATCTCGATAGAGTAAACCAATACTATTCATTGCTATTGCTTCCAATTGATGATCAGTATCATAATTATTTTCAAATATCTTCAGAGCCTTTTCGAGGTAAAAAATAGCTCTGTCATAATGTTTTTTTTTGATGGAGAACTATACCAATGTTCATAACAGATGTAGCAGTTGCTGGATGTTGTGGATGTAGACTTCGTCGACGTAGAATATACGCTCGTACAATACATTCTAAAGCTAAATTAGCTCGACATTTACCATACAAAGTAATTCCCAAACTATTACAGGTTGATGCAAAATCTTCATGAGCAGGTGATAAAGTTTTTAATAACATACGAAAATATTTTTCACCTTTATCTAATTGTCCTAATTCTAAGAATAACAAACATCCAAATAGAATTGGTGGAGTATAATCATTCATTTGCTGACGTTTTGCTTTTAAATAATCTTGAATATCATTTGATATTTCATTTGTTGCTGTCATTCGAATTTTACAACTATACAATGGTGAATCGAAAATAATATTGTCAATTTTAAAAACAGCTCTCAAACTGAACAGAACTTCTTGTTCACCATCTGCATGACTATAGGGATTAATATCAGCAAAAATAACTGTTTGAAGAGGACAGTTAGCTGTAATTTCAAATAAAATTGTCTTCATTACGATCGTATATGAACCAAGAAATTCTAAAGCTACATCAATATTTTTTGTTGTTGAAAAAATCCATTTGTTGACATATAACTGTCGATGCTGTGTATTAATATATCGTACTCTTCAACTGACATCCTTTGCCCACGATATAGCGTTCAAATTTGATTGTTTTCTCTATTCAGTCGCTTCTGTCGATATTCTAGGTGTAAACATAAATCAAGAATATAAAAATCGAAATGTATAAATGATTTCGACATCTTCTGTTCTTAGTCCTTTATTGACCAATCGATAGACAAATGAATTATGTGTGTACCATTCGATAGCTTGGTTCGCATCATAAGTAAGTTCAAATTGTTTAATTTTTCTCATTTCAATTTGATTTAATGCACAATATTCTCGACATGTATCAAGCATATCTTGTTTTGATCGATCAGTTTGAGGTATTTTTCGTAAGACATCAATCAATAGTTGAAACCATGTGAAAGATCCAAAGTCTTTCGATACATTACGAGTTGATTTTTGTTTGTCATGATTAAATGTGCTAAAGGTCAATGCTTGTTTGCTGATGAAATGTATCGTTTTTTGTATGGAATGCATTAAAGAATCTTGATCTGTAAAGACGTCAGTAATTTTTGAATATTCACTTAATAATGGAAGATAAGTTTGACGATCGTTACAAAAAATAAATATCGCAGTAGTTGTTGGTAATGAATGGATTTGAGGTAGGGCAGATTGTGATAATACGCCGGAAATAATCAAAAGTATTCTTTCTTTAACAATTTCTCGAATAAAATTTATACAATCTACAGGATTTGTGTAAATAAGAAGACAATTAGTGAAGTTTTCTAATATGATTTGTGTATCATAATTATCAAAAGTATCATTTACATTTGAATCTAGTCAAAATAATATAGTATCTTCAAGATTTTCTCCAGTTTCACTTGGTCGACGATTGTGTCGTCGTCTTGTATCATTATTATACATTGTACTAGTCGATAATCAGTTTAGTTAAATTTCTTCGAAAAAAAGCACACATCATTGCATTTTATTAGTAACTTCTATTGCAAAAGTCTTTATACAAAATGCTGCTTTGTTTTCGGGTCATGCAAAAGTAGTTAGTAAGACTCAATATTTCGTGCGCTTTCCGATAATGAAGTTCAAACTTCTGTGTCTCTTTTTATCCTAAAGCGATGAAAAAATCTTTGGAAAGCTTAAAACTTCGTATAGACAATGAACAACGTGATGTTTTGCTGTCTCGCTCACGATTCTTTGTAGTATTGATAAAGATTGTCAGAGTTGATAATTTTGAAGCATAAGATCCGTTCTCCAAAAATCTCAACTGTTAATTTTGAACACCACTCATGAACACATATGAAAGGCTATTTTTACCGAGTAGCTGCCTAATTCGATTCATAAGATAAATACAGAACCATTACTATATATCTATCTATATATCCCCCTGGTCAAAATAAACGGAAAAGGAAGCAGTATTCCAAGACTGAACGAACTGGTAAAAAACTGTATCCTGGTCAATCTGTCTTCAGGAACAAAGCGGTCCCAACCGTATGAAAATAATTCATCAGTAATCAGAAAAAGTTTCCTTATGGAAAATATTGGAAACCAGAAAAAATTTCATTTACTTCCATAAAAGGGGAGCCAGCGAAAGGATTCCCGCCTATTACGATAACTTTCTTTAGAATCCATCACAAACCCGTAGAAAACCGTCATCATATCCAACAAAATCCTTCAAAAGTCTATATAACTGATACGACCGTTTCTCGACGTTTCCTATATCCCGTACAATTATCCAGAGCCTTCCCTCAATTTCCGTCGTAAACATCTCATCTGCTCATATTTTTCGACGATTAAAAAACGATTTAAAATCCATCAAAAATCCTTGCGAGAAAATCTTCAGGGTGGGCTATAGAAAAACCATAAACGCCTTCTGCCATTTCTTTCGTAGATTCACCCTACTTTGGTCGAAAAGAAAAATGCCGAAAGGTAAAAATGTCGAAAATAAAAACATCGAAAACGAAAACGGTAGAAATGTCGATAGGTAGAAATGTTAAGAATGAAAGTTTTCGGAAAGGGAAATCTTCCACATCCTCACCCTCACTCGCATGCCTCGCTCCTCACCCTCGTTTTACGCTTTCGACTTTTTTGTTTTCGACATTTTTGATTCTCTCTACTATGGTAGAAAGTAAAAATGTCGAAAGTAACATGACAAAAACTGAGGTATATACTTCGGAGTATTGCCTAATATAACAGCTATTCTTCAGATATTTTTACTTTGCATAGTTTGAAAGCGTCTTTTCGACATTTTCGGTTCCCTATATTATGGTCGAGAGTAAAAATCTTGAAAAAAGGTATAAATGTCGGAAGTAGAGACGTTGAAAATGACGGACTACAGCAAAAAGAATCACCCTCACTCTCACTATCACAACTCCACTATCATTTCTTAGTCTTATATTCTCACCCTTCGCCCTCATCATCATCTTTATGCTAGCATCTTCGCTTAAGAGCTACACTCTGTAAAAACTACTTTTTCAGTTCTGTATCCGAAAAAAAAAAGAGTTTTGCAGCATAATACGAAACCTTGGAGTTCCTTATTAAACTTCGATGGTTTTCTTTTGTTTCAAGTTGCCACCGAATCGTACAAGTTTAAGACGAAACTCTAGGATTTCATATCGCGCTGCAAAACTCTTTTTATGGCTACGGAACGTAAAATGAGGTTTTTACAGAAGGTAGTTCTTTCCGCGGGCACACGGGAATATTCTTTAAAGGTTCCAGGTTTTTGAAATATCGTTTTTTTGAGCTTATTGCCACTTTGGAGAACTATCTTAGATCTACAGAACCCTTTTTGAAGGGTTCCGTAAAACACTTATTTTTTTAGAGCTTATGAACATGAAGAATGAAAATCGTAAAATACGAGCCCATTTTGGCATAGAATTCAAAACATTTCAATGTTTCCATAGCTTATCAGTGCTGCGCGGCCAGTTGATTGCACTCAAGCGTTCAGTTTTTATCGGGCTTGAATTTGGTGTAAAATACTTGGTGGAATCATTAAACTTATATCAAAACATATTATTGAGGTAGTGGTTCCAATGGAAAAAAATAGTCATTTCCCGTACCTCTAAACTTATGGGACACTCTATATACCTAGGTCAACACATTCACATGATTTCCATTTAAATCTCCGAAACATCCATGGAGATATTATCTTGTACGATGGAACTGTTATAGATTTAGTCATAGAGGAAGATTATCCATACAAAGAGTAATGCAATCTTCTCTTCACTTCAAAACTGATCAACCACTAATGATATAAATCTGAATTTTAATAAAACATACTGAAGTATTTTTATTATTCAAAAAAAATTCGATTGATTTTATTTCTAACAATCCTGTGATGTTGGTTTCAGGCTGGTCACGTCGACACCAAGATCAGCGAATATTCTCTTACATTTATCGATTGTGGATGGCGAAAGCGACTTTTGTCTTCTATAATAGAATATATCCGCTTGGAATCACAATATGAAAAATGGATTAGCAACTTACGAAAGAATCCAAGCAAATTCCAATTTAATTTTTACGATGGGAAGAATTGAGCAAGAGTAGACAACTGCATACTCATTGTAGTTAGTTGAGATGATGTTATAGTCGCCTTTTTTGAACTGAAAAGTGCACATTCTTAAATGTTGAAGAAAAAGAAAGACAGCACCATCTACTCACAGAGACCGAAGGTAACCTTTAAGGCGCCTGGAACATTACGATCTTTGACCACGGCAGAGCCTTCAATTTTAGTATATTTACCATCGGAATCAATTTGTTGGTTCACTACACCCACCGTCCCATCAGGCTTCGCGGTGTATGTAGCATTAGTACATTTGCCGCCCGACTGAAATATGTTGTCAATACGATAGACTTCATACCATAGTCCAGTATACTGAAAGTAATAGTTTCAATATAGAATTTTAACATAAGACACTATCCAAATACCTGACTAAGATCTACATCAGCTTGAGTAATAATCGTCGGACAGTTCGCACCAAATGAAGCACCAATGAAACAGAAAGCAAGAACAACAACAATCGTTGAGAGAGACATGATATAAGAATGCAATGCAATGCCTGTATCACATGTATTATATAGTATAGAAGCAATGGTTATATAATTGATCCAAAGTACATTCACCAAACTATGCGCACAATACCCCTGTTATTCAATATTTAATTAGAACGACGCATACAAGAGTAGCAGATGTGGGAACTTGATACAGGTGCTTAATGAAGAACAGAAAAGAAAAGTATTATAGAGGGTCTGTATTCGTTGGCGCTCCGTCAGAATGTGATTACACAACTATGTTGATGGTGAAGGTGAGTCTCGAATGTCACGATCAGGGTTTTTTTATTCTCCAAAAAAATACTTATCGGTTGGTCTAAGTCTGTGGTATTTGTTTTGAATGATTTTGAAAAATTACAAACGAAATAAATTTATCTATATACAGCATTACTCATAATTAACAAACAATAGATATGACTACTCGGTAAAACAAAAAAGGAGTTTTGCACAACCATTTTGTGAGTTCTACTATTGGATATAATTCAGAACTCCTAAACCTGGTTCTGTCTGAAAAAGAGGGTTCTGCTAGAAAATAAGGAAACTATTTATGTTTTGCTATTGAAAATGGTTCAGTTGTGTGTAAAAAGTGTTACGCTATTAAATTATACCTAGTATGCCTATATCATTACAAACAAATAACGCGGGATGTAGCTGGTCTCGCTTGACCCTCGACTGAATGATTAACGTCTACTGAATCTGCTGATTGATCGGTCTGAAAAAGTTTGTTATAGTATGATATGTATTAATATTTTTTTAATTTAATTTAGATAGTAATAATGATACAATTAACTACACGATAAAAAAGGAAACATCTTTATGTACCCATGATTAATAATTATAAAAAAATATGAATATAAAAAACGAATGTGTATATGACAAGTATGATC